GAGAGATGGCTGGAAAGTGATAGAGAAACTCAGACCAAGACTCAGTGAGAAATAATGTATTATTAAGAAAATTGAAAATGAAACACTACATTTTCATGTCTCTTCCACTTTTCCAACCCTTAGAGCGGAAGTGCGACAACTGCAGCCATGACACTTTCTGCATCGAGCCAAGCCAGGGAATGCTGGAGGCTCACATCACGCACGTGAGCAACAGCAAGTCCATCATCAAAGTGTACTTTACAGCCAAGTGAGTATACTCCGTCTTTTTTTTTTTTTTGTATTCACATAACACGTTTGGGGAAGTAAAGCAACTTTTTCGGAAAGAAATTCAACAGCAGCATCTATAGTAACAACAACAAGAATGGCAATATTAACCCTCTCTGTACGCCCTGGAGTCATTTTGTACCCTCGGGGTTGTATTCTTCACATTTGAGATTACTTCTAGTACAAAGATCTCTTTGAAACTTTCAGTATTTCTCAAAAAATCATTTTGACAGAATGCTATGCAAAGCGTACGGATTGGATTAACGAGTAAGTTTCTTCTTTGAAAGTGGTGGCACAGAGTTCCCCACGTCGTATGAATATGATAGTAAAACACGACGTACGGATAGGGTTAACTACATCAGTAGAAGCATAATAACAACAGTAACAAAAGCATCACTTTGTTTAGAGTGCTCCTCAGTGGGCTGGGGATATAGATATTCCATTATCTTACAAAATGTGTATGTGTGTGATGGATGGAGAGATGGACTGATGAAAAGGTGGACAGACAAACAAACAGACAGATGGACGTTTAGACAGACTTAGTCCTAACAGCTTGTTTGGTGTAGGAGTAATACTTTTTCAGCTTGGTCAATAAATCTTCTGTAATCTCTTCTTCCTGCTGATAAGTTTACAGAAGTTCATGTTTGACTGGACTAAACCTTTAGAGCCACACAATATGGGGCCTGCCTATGAATATCTTGTTAATGCTTACAAGGGTGTTAAATGTGTGCAGACACCCCCCCCCCTTGCATGTTCTTAAAGATCCTAATTTAATGGCATGCTGTTTCTTATCCTTAGCTTGTGTTTTGTAATAAAACTTTTAAATCTTATTTTCAGACATTCTGAGTCGTACGACTGTACATTCCTTGTGAAAGGCATGCTGGGAGAGGATTCACGCCGCATTCATGTGTATGGATGTGGATCTTATGATGGGAAACATGAGGCTATTCTTAATGTTTAGAGAAAACGTCTTTGTAGATTTGTGGTATTTTTCACCCTTCAGATATTTCCAAAGAAAAAGACAATTTTTATAAATATTTATTTCATTTCTAGATGGGGCTGTAGCAGTCTCTGAAAGAAACTTTCTGTGTTGAAAAGAGCAACGAGCTCATACACTGAGAGAGTTTGTTCTGTATTATTCTTAATATGTCTGCTGATGATGGTGCAATCTGCGGAGTAGTAGGCCACTGCGTGCCTGAAATTGCTACTGTTCTATGGGACAGGAAAAAAGTCCAAGGTTAGCTCTCTGCTGTATCAACTTGTGTCTTTTCATGAGTAGCATATGTTCTTTGATCTTGTATGTGCAGAATATGTTTGTTTTTGAGGAACTTGCATTGTGATGGTTAAAAAATGAAGCTAATGCCAGGGATCTATAGCATGAACAAAGAGAACAATCTCATCTTTTGCTGAGCTGTTTGAGCACATGTATCTATTCTATCACAAACAAAATAAGTGCCTTGAGATACATGCATGGCTTCCAATTCTCCGCTTTGAGTGTTTGAACCTATTGATCAATATTTATTTTGGCTCTGTCTTTTTTTGTTAAAAAAAAGCATATATTTACTTTTTTCAAATAATAGTTAGATCCGCGAGAAGCAAATAAAGGCAAGAAATGTTAATGTTTGATAGATTAATTCATAAAGAACAAGTATGAATGCTTTCAAAGCACAGAATGTTACAATTGATACCTTTTGTTTGAACTGTAAAGCTAAAAGTGCTAGAAAGTTCAAATAAGTCAGGGCCAATTCACTGACTTGAATTTGAAACATATTATTTCTACTTGACGTTTTGAAGCTAATGTGAAGGCATGAGGCCTAAGATGATTGTTGCTTGAGACTAATTAGGCTTTTTGTTGACAATAATGCTGTCTGTCTTGTTTTTTTGTGTGATGTTTTCCAAAAGGCCTCGTTGATCATATCAGTATTCGTTATGCTTTTTAAATGTGATATTCTATAACGAATTTTTAACCTTCTGTGATTTTCTTTAATGAGTATTGTCAAATATTGTGGATATTTTCATGTTGTGATTTTATATATATAGTGCATATGGGTTCTTTTTCATTTGAACTATGTGTCACTTAAAACTGCAGATAAGTTGGCTAGGATTACTAAGAAAACTTTGGTCTTTCAGTTGAGGCTGGAATGTGATAATCCACTCTCAGACTGTGTGTACTCAAACTCCAGGACACACAAACTGCTACTGTTTAACGATATATGCCAATACCCTATCATGAACAACCTAAGTTGCTCTGAAAGAGGGGTTCGAAAGGATAAGTTTGTATATTTAGAAAATGAGACTTGGGATGTGACTAATATGAGATCTGATTTTTGAGCATTGGCAGGTGCACCACTTGTCCTAATTATAACAGTGTATAGTGAACTACTGTGCAACACTTGTCATATTTGTAATAAAATATAGTGAACTACTGTAAAATGTTGTGTCGTTTTCTTCTATGATCAAGTAATGTGTCTGTTGCTTAAGATTGGAAAAATAAAAAAAGTGTAAAGATTACGACAATTCGGGTTATTCTTGTCTGTCATACTTATTGACTTTTTTACTTTCTCCCTCTAATGTCACTTTTCTCTTCGTCATGATGATGATTGTGGAAGTGAAAATGTTCTGGGCTGACAGTCGGAGCTTACCTCACCCTTTTGACACTCATAGGAGCAACTTCTTCTACACACACATTCAGGCTGCGGACTCGGTTTTTTAAAATATTGGTCATACGGTTGAAAATATATGGGG